AATTTGTCTCATTTCCCATCCTGAATTCTCGTGTTGCACAGCTACCCCTGCGCTGCTAACCAGCTCCTTACGGCATGCTTTAAGAGCCTGTCTGGTGGCAGGAATACGCTGACAAAAGAAGAACATCTCAAGAGTTTCAGACTGTTTGGGTAGCAAATTAAATTTCTGCTTGTTTCCCCAAATTGTAGCTGTGACTAAGATATTTTGCAGCTGCTACACCGTTAACTACAGCTTCACAGTATTGCTAATAAAAGATATGAAAGAAATAATTCTGAAGTGGTAGATCTGACTTATCTTCTTGCTCTAGGGGCTCTAAAGTGGATTTCAATCATGTTCAGTCACAAACTCTATTGCCCAAATGATGCCTGTTCCCAACTGCCCCAGACTGGTTTTTGTGTCAGAAAGCCTAGGTAACACTTTTCAGAGCTCTGACCTGGTAATTTGCCCCCTGGAGCTACTCTTTTGATTTTTCCTAATATCTAAAACCCAATTTCTTGAACCAAGTATTCAGTAAAAGTCTCTCCTGCACAGTATGTATCTTGGAAGGAGAACCCACAACAAACCAAGATACTTAGACAAAAGTGAAACTAGCCCAAAACATGTTAAACAGTAAAAATGACTGTGCCACACTCAGGGCTTAAATACAGCTTTTGATAATGACTGTAAAGGGCAGTGATGCATTTCACTTATATGAAAAAGCAGCAGACACGCAATGTTCTCTCTGGCTTCTTTGGAAAAGCATTTAGGAGCTCTCATGTTATAGGAAGAAACAGGAGAAGCAATTAGCACCAAAGCCACACTGCAATTCTCTGAATACTACTTCACACAAACAGATCTGCAGAACCCTATGGCTTTACTCAAGCAAGGAAATGTTGCTCAGTGTAATTAAGGATTGCCAGCATAGGAGCCTGAAAGTAGAACAGCTCTCATCATGCAGGATCTTAAAGCATGATGCAGGATACAAACTGAGTTCTCTCCTGTCTCTTTCTAAATAAGATCAGACACGTTTTCTGCTTTTCCAGGCCCAGGATCCCTTTTACAAAATGTACTTTTTTTGTTGAGCCAAGGGGCAACTGCTTTACTGGCAGTAGTTAATAACACTAAGGAGAGTACTTCTGACAACCTATATCATCCTCTCAGTTTATCCACAGCTGTGGGGAAGGTTATCCTACTTGTTCTTGCTGTGGAGGATGTCTCCTCCCAATCTCTGCCAGCCCATGAACAGTGTGACTGTGACCAGGAATGTGAGCACTGGCAGTGAAGGACCTTTTCATGGCAGAAAAGGTCTGGTTTTCTCTCAGATTGATTCCATGCTGTGATGCTACCCTGATTTGTCATTTTGGACCTCCTAAGTTATCTCAATGGCAAATAAACTGCAGGTGCTTTGAAGGGCCACCTGCTGCATCAGGTGGGGTTGATGTAAATGTCACCTTTCTTTTAAATCTAATGCTACATGCATGGCTGAATGAGCTGTTGCGCTGTGTGCTGAGAAGCAACAGACCTGAATAGCACGTATGAGAAATGATGCACAAAGCCTGTGAGTTTATATACTCCTTTTTGGGCCAAATACTTTACTGAGGGGGATTACTGGGAGTTTTAACTTCTGCAGCTGTTTCTCTGTGTTCATAAAAATTCAAAGCTCAGTCTCATGTTACACCAGGGTAAACCAGATGTACTTCATGTCTCAGGTACTACCCGCTCAAAATTACTCTCAGTTCACAGGGGCAGAAAGCAATGTGCAACCGGGATGAATCTGTCTCTCGGTGAGGCTCCTTGTCCTTCTAATCCAAAACCCCTCTGACTGGAAGATCTTCTACGATACTAATTCCTTCCAGTATTGCCAATTTTTAGAGTTTAATCATAAATCTGCTGGAGCTGGATTTGCGTTAGGGTGAAACACATCAGTCTTCACACTCTGCCTGTGGGAAATCCCTGCTGGGGTTTGTTACCCTTCCTGCTTCTTTCTTCCAGCAAAGTAGATTAAGTTCTGGAGAGAGCAGGCAATGCTCTGTCCTTACCCTGAGGAACAAAAAGGGGTTGTGAGATAGTCGAGGGGGACCAGAAGAAAAACAACCAGTCTTATGGATGATAAAAGTATTTTTGCCCCTCTTGGAACAACAGGTCATTCCCTGTATATTCCTCTCAGCAGCAAAGGCAGGAGGGAGGTCTGAAGGAAAAGGCTCTTAGCTGTAAGCTTGAGAACAGAAGCACAAGGGCAAAATCCTAGCAAAAGATGGGAGATAATTACGCAGCTGTGAGCTCTGGGGACAGCTAACAGCCTTGTATCGTCAGACAGCACCGCAGGCCAAACCATAATCTTTGCTTTGTTCCAGTGTCTGTGAGTCTGGGAGCGCTGCTAACAGACTGTCAAACTAGAAAGGGAACTAGGAGGGAAGTTTAAATACCAAAGGGTAGGGCACAAGCTGTGTTTGAAGTACCTGTTGTGTTCTGAGCTGGAGCAGTTGTCCAGGTGGAGCAGCTCGGGCTGCCCTCGCCCCCATTTTGCACTGACTGGGAGGGAAGCAGGGCAGCCCCAGGATTTATCGCTCCGATGCCTAAGTGCATGGTTTGTTTGAAAGGGCACTGCGTTATTTTAATTGTTTTTGCTGTTTTTGTCATGAAGAACAGAGTCCTCCTTTGAGGCACACGCCCTCCCCGTCCTGAGGGGATCCAGCTCCGCCCTGACGCAACGGCCACCACAGTCAAAGCCCGCCATAACCCGCCACAGTGCTCCGCTGTGACAGGGAGCAGGCGGCGGAAACCAACCCTTGTGCGGCAAGGGCGGGAGAGACAGTGTCACTGCTTCTGGCGAAGCAGCTGCGCTATATGTCTTGAAATGACCGCTCTGCTCAATCCCTCCGGCTCGGCCTGGGTATTTCACCGTGAACGATAGAGAGGGCATTTCAGAACCGCCAACTTTCTGCCATCAACTCCCCCCCCCCCAGTGGAGCTGATGGTACTTTCCAGCGCGGCGGGTACAGGTGCCGGAGGGGCGGGGCTGCATGGAACGTTCTGGAGTGCGTGCGCGTCGCTAGGTGACCGCGGCGGCGGCAGTAGTAAGGGCGGTGTGAAGGACGCGGAGGCCGCCGTGAGCTCAGTACGTGCTTCCGTGCTCCTGCGGGCAGAGTGCAGTGTGTGCTTCCGTGCTCCTGCGGGCAGAGTGCAGTGTGTGCTTCCCTGCCTGCGCTGTGACACCCGCACAGGCTCCCAGGGTGGATTTTTTACCGTGTCTAGTTTTGAGGTGCTGTGCGCAGTGGGGTGTGCTGTTCTGTGGTGTTCTGTGCCCCCTACCCCAGCAGGAGCCGTGTGTGTGTATGTATGTGTGTTTTCCTTGAGGCCGCACATCTTTTAAACTCCTCCAGTTAAATTGTTATCTGTGGCTTCTCCACTGTAAGGTCAGTGTAAGCAAGTATAGCTTCAGGGAATGTGTTAACTGCCAGCTGGGGATGTTGCTGCTTGGCTGCAATAGTGTTGCCAAGGCAGGCTTGCATGGGAGAGGAGTTGCGCTGGGATGGTTGCAGCCAGGGTTTGTCTGGAGTTCAGTAAATACTCCAAGGTCCTCATGGCTGGCATTTAAGTGACAGAAGTGGGTCTCATTCTGTGTTTTACGACCTGGGTGGTTTAAAGGTGGGTGTACACTGGCAGTGAATAGCATAGATATTTGATACCATAGATACCAAATATGCTCCACTTAATGCAGAACCGTGAAAAGGTACAAAATTATCTTGTCACAGTGTAATCATAAATAGTTTCCATTGATTTATACTCATCTTTATATATGGTTCATTTGCATGTGAAGATGTTGTTTACAGTTTGTGGAATAATTTGTAGTAAGGCATAAAAATGATAACTTCTGATAACCTTGGCTTCAACCAGGCATTAAAGGGGGGTTGGATTGTATTGATTTGTACATTAGGTTCATTAGACTAGGTTTCTTTCATAATTAAACTGTGATTTTTATGTTCCTGAGCTTGTGATATGAGTTTTTACATGTTCATTTATGATTTATTTTCTTCTTTAAGCATCTGGTTCAGTCTTTCAAGGTTGGCTTGCACAAGGTAGATGAACTTAGAAAGATTTCTTCTGAGAGCTGTAAAAATGCTTATGTTACGAGCTCAGGTGCTTTTTGGAGCAGCAGAGTAATGGACCCTTAAGGATTGATCTGCATGTGTGAGAGTGTATGTTAAGCCTACTGGAGTAAGCAGTATCAATGAGATTGAGCATATGCACTGTAAATAGGACCTAAGCCCCCAGTCTTTGTCAGAGTTCTCCTCCATGCTATTCCCAGGGATAGGCACCTTACCACAGTCCCAGAGTGATGGAAAAGGGAAGCCGGTTCCCTATCCACCACCCCCACCCCCCCTGAAACTATCCAGCAGACACAGACCAAGTGTTTGGCTAATAGTTCAGTGTCAGGTTCCCAGCTGATTGCTGAGCTGGCAGCATCTCCTGTGCCCTCTGCAGAGACTGAAGCCGTTTAAAGGATGCTGTCAATGGAAGACTGAAAAACCTGGACTTGAAGCTGTTTTAGAAAAAAACTTTGGTTTTTTTGATTGGATTGGAGTTCATGAAAGATGGGAATAGGGTCCTCTGTTGACGTTGAGAAGTTGTGGCATGTCCAGCCCTAGACCTGGTATGAATTGCACTACAAATCTATTTGCACAAAGTCCTGTGTGACGCCACCCCAAGGTCCAGCCTATGCCCCATGCAGACCTGTCTCCTGAGGGTAAGTGGCGCTTGCCCCAGGCAGCACAGCTGTGTGGAAGAAGTGGCTTGTCCCCGATGGTGTAGGCTTTGTACTACCAAAGTGTTCTGCTCAGTTCTGCAGGTTTAAGTTTTCCTTAATTTACGTAAGAATTACAGGAACCATTACGTCGCTTTGGATATAGGTACTAACTTAGGAATTACTCCCATTTTTACTTGTGAACAAGCCACTTTGTCTTCTGATGTACTCCTTTCCTTCTTGACTTCTCTTTCTCTTTTATTTTTTTTCTTGACAGTGTTAACAAGCCCCAGCAGAGTTGCTGAAGTTACCTCCAAGTGACATATTCAAGCACTGGAAAGGTAAGATCTCATTTCTAAGCTGCAGTGAGTGGCATTGTGTGCATCTGCGATGTGCATACCCGTCATCAGCTTACGCATGCTCTCACAACACTTGGGAAAGTTGTGAGGCAGATTTTGATATTTCTGCTTGTATCATCAACTCTCCAGGAGAAAGGGAGTCCTCTGAGAAGCTGGCATGCTGGTAGTCTGCTCGTGTCCTGTGTCACTGAAATATTTTCTGTGGCTTCTGATAGAAAATTTATTAATGAGCATGAATTGTTGTGTGTTTTGATGGATTTTCTGGATTCTTCTTTGCAATAATAATTGTGTGGTTGCCTGGAACAAGTAACTCAAATGATCCCCCCTTCGTATGCTGGGGAGCCAGATGAAGCCCTGAGTCAGGGGCTTTGGAGTGTACAGGAGAAATGCCTTGCTTAGGTGAGAGAAATGTTGGTGAAATGCTACTGTGCCAAGACTCTTCTTTGGTTATGGTCAGGTTGCTGACTCAAGCCAGACCTTGCAATGATGTATGGGCTGAATTCTGTTCTAATACGGAAGTAAGTGGTCTTTTAGCAGGTAAGGAGATGTTTCTACATGTATTGGACTTTGATTTGGTTTTCTTTGCGTTTCAGATCCTTGGTTCTTCATGAGTTAGCCTGTAGGGGCTTATTTATGGGGAACACAGATGCTTCCTAAGATCCGTTTTGGATAGGGAATATCATTTTCAGAGCCCAGAAGTGGCTCCCCAGTTAGTCATCTTTGTGGGATAGGGTGCTGAACAAGGTGACAGGGGAGTGATTTCCATGGCTGTTGCCAGGATTTGAGGGTCCCAGCTAGGAAGCTGACCAGGTCAGAAGGCAGATTCCTGTAATGTATATTTAAAAAAACCCAAAATGTGTGTGGAAGTGGTTGTCTACATTTGTTTTTGCAGTGAAATATTATGAAAAAAGACTTTTGAATTTTCTTCCCTATTTATTTGCTTGCTGCTGTTTTTTTCCTGACGCCTCCTCCTTCCCAATTTTTTCTCTTGATTTTTGGAGTAAAAAAATGGGCTTTTGCTTTTCTTATATGATTATACATGTAAATCATTAATAAAGAATCTGGTTAGTCTTGTTCATGTTTTAATCTTCCAGCTTTTGGGATGTCACCATTACCATAATTCTTCAGGTCTAAATTTCTGAAAGCAAGTTGAGTTATCTCCCTGTGCTTTCAAAAATGGGTCAGGGTAGTGAGGAACTGTCAGACTGGGAGCTGGTGAAATGGTTTGCCTTTCCAGTCTGACTAAAGTGAGAAACCAGTGTTAATGGGAGAGCAGACTACAGTGGTGATAGTTCTAGCTGAAAACCTATAAAGTGCTTGGGGAATTAATGAAACAAGTAATTTTATGATGGAGTTTTATAGCATGGTATTAATAAACAGCATGAGTTTGACATAGAGTGGCAGAAAAATGATCAGTTTGTGATGGTACTCTGTTTTACAAGTCTCTGGATATGTCAAAATAGTGTTTTATGGCAGGAGGAAACACAAAAGATCTGCGGGAGTTCATGGTGTAAATAAAGAGATAATGGTCATAGCAGAAAACTGTGAGGTAACAAACAGCATTGGATGAGGAAGCAAAGCTCTGAACTCTGTCCTTATGATTATGTCTCCTGCTGGAGGAGAAGCATAGTCTGCACGAATAAACTTCAGAGTAATCAAAATACTTCTCCATTTTCAAATATGTCTGAAAGTTCAGAGTTGCTGATGCCTTTGGATTGTTCATTGAGAACTGATGAAGGTGGTGTGTTTTGAAGGCAAGTAATTGAAGGAGAGATGAAGTGAGTAGAAGAGACACATGACACAATTGAACGTATTTAGGGGTTGGGGCTTTTTTTGCTGTCTCCTTGGAGCACAAACCTTGCAAGTCAGGTCTTTGTAAGCATATAAAACTCTTGTCCCTCTCACCAAAAACCCTAAAATAATTTTATAAGCTGTATGTAATCCCAATAAATTTGGGGTGTAAATTTTTATGTGCATACTAGGTCTTAGACTATAAATTCTTTCTGATTGCATCTGCTTGAGTGTATATAACACCAGAAATGACTGTTCTTTGTGTGCAGTGAAGGTTGTAAGGCTGTGTTATCTTACACCTGCTGATAGCAAATTAGTAGTGTTTTATGCAAATTTAGTATCATTGCTCCATTTATGGGTAATAACATCTCCCTGGATAGACCTAATAGAGGTCCTTCCCTTTTCATTTCCATTTCCTCTTGGACAGAAGTGTTTTCCTGACTTATTTTATACCAGCTGCTAGTTCCTTGTCCTAATGTCAGTGTGGCATTGGCCTTGCAGCGATCCTGTGTGCTTACCCTGTTTCCTGATGTTTGTATGTTCACAAAAGTCCTTGTTGCTGTATGTGTTTGGCTTGTTTTCAAGAAGGAAGCCCATAATGATCTCCAGGCTTCTACTTACAGAATAAGCAGATGAGGTCTGCCCTGGTTTTTCTTTTGCCTTTGCTGACATGCTTTACATGTAAAACAATGCCCTGTCTGGACTTCAGGTGTTTCAGCCACTTTCAACTCCCACCTTCTTTATTTAGTCAAAGTGCCTTCTGGGGTGTCAAACCTGCATTTTTTTAAAAATCTTTTCTGATATAATGTTTCCTTTTCTTATCTTGCCAACTATTTCTGCTTTGTTGCCTTCATCCCTCCTATGAATTTGACACCTTCGTAATTTAATCTCCCAGTCAATGTCTTGGCTTAATGTCTGGAGCATGCCAATTACATTACACTTCTCGCCTAGCACATGTGCTTCTAATTCTGTATTGTCACACACCAACTCCAAGTGTTGCTACAGATCATGTTTATGCTTCAATCCTTCATTGCCTGCTGCAAGGAAGGGGAAGTAGAAGGGTGCAGTGCATTCATCCTGCCTCTGTTAGCAGTGTTGGATGCTTCCTAGTGAACTGAAGGGGGTCCTGTGACAAATATTTTTGTCATGACCTTCACTGGGGAAAAGAGTCTTCCAGCTAGAAGTCTCCCAATGGGATCCTACATACTACCTTGTTTGGGTGCAAAATTGTAATCCTAAATTGAAAGTTGCATTGTTTCAATGCTGACTTCTGCCATGCCTGTGCTGTGTGGCTGCTACTGTAAGCTGCTTTTTTTGGTAAGTGGAAGGAGAGTGTGAAAGATGAGGGTGCTTCTTCTGCCCTTGTTATTAATGTGAGTTGTTCCATGTGTAGGAGAGTTAGAAAATCTAGGTTCTTCAAGATTTGTTTCCACTAGCCAGGATCTGGTATGTAAGAGTGGTCTGTGAGTGGTATGTGATGAAGGTTGCGGTGCGAGTTCATCCCTCTCAGTCATGAAAATAATCACTCTGTTCTATCTGGCCATGTGTTTTCATGACTTTTGCTGGACAACTGGTTTTATATAAATCCAACAGAGATGTAGTAATGAATGACACAGATTGTTGGGTGGGGCAAACAGACTTTGTGGCTGCTTAAATCTTGTTTCCCTAAGAAAACAAACTTAAAATCAAATGTGTCCTGGTATGGGAGGACATATAAAAAATATTTGCATAAGGAATCTAAGATTCCCTAATTGTGGCATTTTCCATGTCTTGAAACCATTTAAAAGCTCCTTCTGTAACCACCAGCTCTGAGGCATACTGGCTGGTGTTTCTGGCCAGTACTGCTGCTCTGACTGATGTGGAGGCCAGGTTTCATTCATACAGCAGTACTCTCCAGCCTTGACAGCCTCCAGAATGATCCTGACTCTGGAAGCCTCTCTTGACTTCTGAGCTTTGGGCAATACCCCTGGAGAGCAGAGGCCAAATACATATCATAGATCAGTCAGTGTGATTGCTACTATCCTGAATAACAGCTTTCTTGAGGTCACTCCAGTGTCCATGAACTAAAAATTGAGGATAGTAATTCAGGGGCTACAGGACCTGCCTACAAAGAACACAAAATATACTGGGGAAATACTAGAGAGCAGGTCAGTATGTCCTTCAGGAGTAATAGTACTTTAATAATCCATATGGCATGTTAATAGCACACATCTCTGTAGTTTACCATATAGATGAATCTGGCAGCTACCCCAGCTTGTTTCAGTTACAAGATATTAAGAGTCCTCTGTGACATGCTGTCCCTTTAAAGCTGCTGCAGTATTGGATATATCTTACAGGATGTATTTATTCTCTTGCATGATTAGCACTCTCTTTCTTTGTCCTTCAGCAGTTGATTGCTTTCAACCTGGGGACTCTGCCTGAGAGGCTTGGGAGAATTCCCAGGTGTTACATGTGTATGAGTATGGTTATGAGGAGGCATATTAGTTCTTGAGAGTGGATCTTTTTTACTGCAGTAATAAATCTTCAGAGGTAGCAAACAATGCTGATTTATACACAACCAGATTAAAGTTTGGGAATAAGAGCATAATTGCTGGCACACCTGTCTTTTTTGATCATGTACAGTGTTCAGTTAAGGTAACGACAGGCTTATCTCTGTATTTGAAAGCCAATGCCATGTTGCATTTACAGCTTAATACAAATAAGCAGAATTCTTCTGTGCTTCAGTGAGTGAGTGTAATTGCTGGCAGATGTGAGTTTTAGGTTAGCATTCCCAAATTGCCCACCATTTATAGAGCTCCCTTGAAACCACACTGCAGCACAAGCCTCTGGTGATGGGAAGGTGAAGGCTGCGTTGCTGTAATATGAACAGGCAGCGGAGGCAAGACTTTTTCTTCTTGGAAAAGCCAACGCTGTGATACCCCTAATGTCTCACTGTGCTGGCAGGCAGCCTAGTTTTCCATAGTCCCTATGGAAAAATGAAGCTTTGACAACTTCTATGACTTGATCATCCAGTGCTAGTCTGGCTGACTCTTAATGCTGTGCTGAGGTATTTTTGCTAGTTTAGGATTGCAGCAAAGTTTGTAGCCTGTCGTTCTGTTGTATGATGTTACATCTTACATTAAAGTGTGGCTGTAAGAAAACCCTGTCATTTTCATTAAAACATTGTACAGGAAGAGGGCTCATTTACTGGC